TAAAGCTTGTTCCCCCAGTGAGGAGATGAGGTGGAAGAAGCAGACAGATGACGCAGGACCTTGTTGGGCTAGCCCAAGGGGAATGGCTAGGAGTCCAGCCCTCACTGGACACTCCCTCATGCCTCCCCCAAAGCGCATGCGCCCATGCACACGCACACACACACGTGCGCTCGCACATACACACGTGTACACATACACATATTCATTACTGCATCCCAGAGGCCAAGGCCATCCATGGCATGTTGCTACCAGCTGTGAACTCCCAGAATGGAGGAATGACACAGCTGTTCACCCAGGATCAGGTCTCCCATATGCATTCGTTCAACAAGCACTGATCATAGTTCTGAATCTGGTACACCAGGCACCCTTTCTTTCAAGAGCTCAAAATCTGTCTAATGGGGCAGACAGATACATGACTATTCTACAATGTAGCATTAGATGTGGCAGGGAACAATGAACTCTGCCTAGAGATATTAGAGAAGCTTCACCAGGAGGGGATGCTTGGCTCAGCCGTTGTGTAACTCAGTGTCAAGATGGGTCCTTACTGGGGACGTTTGCTAGTGGGGGAGGGACAAAAAGAAGAAACTTCAGCATATGCCCAGCCCTCCATAGGAGGTAACTATGGGATGGGAGCCTATGCTTCTGGGTCGTAAGATACCTTGGCCTGACATCAGCTTCACCTTTGGCCCATGCTGGTGTGAAGAAACAGGTAGAATCCAGGTCAACCCTCCTTAGTGCAGGAATAGGAAAAAGAAACTGATTGCGATTTTCCTGTCTTTGATTTTATGTTTGTTAAGGGAAATCTTATTTGCATTTTTATGGCAAATGTTTGTGACTTTGAACCAGGAACTGGCCTGTCTTGTGTTTCTCCTGCGCTGCTTTATCTTGTTTCCTGAGTTGGTAGTTTTGAGCTTGTGTAAGACCTGCTCAGGGGTCTCCAGCCACATCAAAGGGCTGGGATGGCAGCCCCTTAGCTCCAGGGCATCTGTGCGAGATCTCCCTTCTCTTGTGCCTGGTAGTTACTTCTTCCAGGGAAAAAGTAGCTTGCAATACCCAAGTCTGGCTAAATTTCTTCCTGCCTGACCCTGGAATCCCAGTGTTGAAAGAGGTCTTGGCTCTGTATCAGAAACTTGTTAGTTTCAAGCAGCAGCAACCAGTGTTTCCTGACTCACTCAACAAAAGGAATGTATTGGAAGGAAGCGTGGTAGTTCATAGAATTGACTAGAAAGCAGGAGGACCAGGCTACAAAAATAGACAGGGACCAGAAGATACTGGGCAACAAGAGCAGGAGACACGTGTTCCTGACCTCCACTGTCACCGTACCCCCAGACTTTTGGTAGTTTCTCACCTGTCCTTGTGTCTTTATGTCACTCACATGAGACTCCTGGCAGGGGCATCAGATGGGTCAAGCCTGGGTCTCAGGCCTAATCTGTGGCTGGCGGGCTTTCAGAGTGGGGGGAGGGGCCCCATCTCTCCAACACAACATGGGATTCCCCCCAAGAGGGAAGTGTTTGGATGTCCACTGCAGCACTGTTTGGGGGAGTAGTAAGCAAAGTTGAGTAGTAAGCTACCAACAGCGTGACCAACACCCACGGGAAACCTCTGGTGTATAAATCAACCCTCAGAGATGAAATTGAGGCTGGGAGGGGCGCCTGGGCGGCTCAGTCAGTTAAGCGTCTGCTTTTGGCTCAGGTCATGATCCCAGGGTCCTGGGATCGAGCCCTGCATCGGGCTCCCTGCTCAGTGGGAAGCCTGCTTCTCCCTCTGCCCGTTGCTCTCCCTGCCTGTGCTCTTTCTCTGGCAAATAAATAAATCAAATCTTTAAAAAAATTGAGGCTGGGATTTAGGGGAGATTGTACTCCGCACAGGGGAGGCTGAAGTGAGGAATAATAGCTGATGTCATTTACTGATGGCCTCCTACAAGCCTGCCACCAAATGTATGTGATGAAATCTCATTTAATCTTTCCCTGGCAAATCTGTAGACCTCTCCCTGTTTTACAGATGAGGAAATGGAGGTCCAGGAAGGTTGGGGTTTCTCCGGGGTCCTACAGTGACTGGCATTCACATGTATTCTTCCAGGCTGTGAACGCACACTCTTCTTCCCACTATGCTGCTTTTCCTATACCTGGGACACATGAATTGGAGAACACATCCCTGTTCTGTGGTGTGAAGTCATAGGGTGGCCAATAAGCCTGTCTCTGAATCCACATCTGCTTCCTCTAGGCAATTACTGTTAGTTGCTATTGAACCCCAGAATTTCTTTGGCGTCACCCAATAAATAGGTATCTTCCCCCTTGATCTTGTTAGCTAATTGGCTAGGAAAGTCAAAAGTAACTTCATACCTTGGTTTTTCTTTTCTTTTCTCTTTTTTTTCCTAACTTGATCCTTCTCTTGAAGTACAAAGAGTGGGCTAGAGAGGGTGTGTCACATTCACCCCTGGCAGAGTCCTGAAAATGCAGGGACCGTGATGGACGCTGGACATAGGCACCCCCAGGTTTTAGGGCAAAGTCTCCTTTGTGTGAGTAACTGATCAGATACATCAGTTAAAATCAATATTTCCTACCTGCATGTCAAATATCTGCACGATCTGCTTCCAGAGCCAACCACGACCACAATTCATCCCACATGCACATGGCATGCTCTGACCCAGCCCTGCCCCCAGGCCAGCACGTGGGTTTTGTGTGCAGCTCTGGGCCCAGAGCTCTAGAATTGGATTGCCTTCCCCTTAAAAATGCTAACCAGGTAACTTCTTGGCAAGCAGAGTGCACTTTTAGGAGAGGGCCTTTTGGAGAGGATCTCATTGCTCTGTTAGGGCCTGAGCCCAGAAGAGACAGTTTGGTCATTCCTGGGCTTGAGCCAGCTGTTGCCCTTTCTGGGCAATGCCTTTGGGGGTCTTGTTCAGAGTCTGAGTTTATATTCTCGAAAACCAACATGAAGCTTAGCTGACACTTTTCATCTGGGTCCCAGGAGACCAGAAGAGCAAAATAGAAATTCTCACTCGACCACCACTTACCTGTCTTGGGTCCACTGGGGCAGGAAAAGAAGAGAGGTTTCTGTCCATCTGTCTCATTTAACCTCTCTTGTCCAAGGGTGTGTAGGTAACATCTGAACGAAGGTAGACCAGGAAGATGGAATAGGCCCAGGCCTGAGGCTTGGGGCCAGGCTAGAGGAGAAAAGCCGAATTATTATGGTTATAGCAAACAGAGGTTGAGATATCATCCACTGTCTGTAGGGAAAAGGTGATATATGTGTACTCGATAGGAATGTGACAGCCCAACGTTCCTTCCCAAGGACTGCTGATCTGAAAGGGAACTTTTGTTTAATGCCATGACAGCCAGTCCCTACCCACTCTTGCCCAGAGGCCTTACTTGTCAGAAGCCCCCACAGGAGAGAGTGAGCTCCATTCTCTACGTACTTGATTCTAGTGGCTGTCTTCCTGTGAAGTCGTATCTTTAAACAAGTATGGTGAATTCAGTGCAGAATTAGAAAGCAAACAAACTTGCTGTAAAGGAACATTTACAACTTAAGTAGAGATTTGTGTATAAGCAATGATTCATGCTTTGTTGGATTTCTAAAAATAGACAACATGATTTTGTTGAAAGCTTTCTAGCCTCTACTGTATTTTAACCAATACATGACTATCTCTGAATTATTATGACAGCTATGTAGCTGCTGTCTAAAAGAAAGATAAATCTGTTGATTCAGCCAGGGACTATAGATTTATTGCCACCACAAAGTCAAAAGACACAATCTTGGGAAAATATTTGCCACACATAAGGAAAAAAAAAGTTAATTACCTTAATATATAAAGAGATCTTACAAATCAATAAGAAAAGACCAATAATCAAATAGAAAAATGGGCAAAGGGAATCGACAGATTGCCAAAGTGAATACAAATGGCTTTTAAATAGACAAAACAATGTGCAATTTCATTTATTAAAAATGTAAATTAAAGCAGTGAGATACTATTTTTGCCTTTCAGATTGCAGGCATCAACTTTTGATAATACTTTGTATTAGTGAGGATGTAGGAAAACGGTCACTCTCCTACATTGATAGAAATGTAAATTAGTACAACCTCTTTGTAAGAAATTTAACAATATCAACCAAAATTGAAAACGTACATAGCTTGTTACATTTATCTATTACTGTGTAACAAACTACTCCAAAACAGAATGACTACATTAATAATTATTTTGCTTGTGATTTTTAGGGTCAGAAATTGAGGAAAGGCTAGGTTGGGTAGTTCCTCTCTGATCCATATGGGGTCAGCTGGGGTGGCTGGGAGGATCCACTTCCAATTCATCTTTTAGGAATTTAACCTACAAACATATGTGAGCAAAGATACACGTCCAGGGGTATTCATTACAAAATCACTAACAGTAAAATACAGGGTTAACCTAAACGTCCATCAATAACCCAATTTATTGGGGCGCCTGGGTGGCTCAGTCGTTGGGCGTCTGCCTTCAGCTCGGGTCATGATCCCAGGCTCCTGGGATCGAGCCCAGCATTGGGCTCCCTGCTCGGCGGGAGGCCTGCTTCTCCCTCTCCCATTCCCCCTGCTGGTGTTCTCTCTCTCACTGTGTCTCTCTCTGTCAAATAAATAAATAAAATCTTTAAAAAAAAAAAAACAACCCAATTTATTTATGCCCATGTAATGGATAACTATGCACCTATTGCAAAGAATGATACAGCTCTATGTACAGATAGTGAAAGAGCTCCAAAATATAACTTCAAAATAAAAAATCAAGTTGCAGGGGTGCCGGGGTGTATCAGTAGGTTAAGCGTCGGACTCTTGATTTTAGGTCAGGTCCTGATCTCAGGGTTGTGAGATCGAGCACCCTGTTGGGCTCCATTCTAGGTGTGGAGCCTGGTTAAGATTCTTTCTCTCCTCCCCCTCCACCGCCACCCTTCTCTCTCTCTTAAAAAAATTTTTTTATGCCCACACCAGGAGCAGAGGACCTGGAGAACTGAAAGGGTTCTGCGGAGGGCCCCATAGTCCCTTCTGGGGATGGAGCATTTCTTGGTGGAGCCAGTATTCAGAGGATAGAGGTTTGGGAAGTGGGGGCAGGGAAGGCTGAGGACATGGCAGGGAGGAAAGCACAGTGGCAGATGGATTTAGAGCACTCTCTGAAGTCTGGAGAACCCTGAAGGCAAAGACCTTGAGAGCCAGACTCCCAGGCTGGAGTGAATCCTATCCAAGCCATAGGGGATGTGCAGACGTGCAGCACCTAACGGACCCACTGAAGGCAGCAGGAGTGGATACACAATGCGCCCGCTGTGGTTCAGGTGGCTGGCCAGAAGGGCCTAGACGATGCGGGATAGTGGGAGAAATGGAGAAAAGGAGGGTGGGGTGGGCAAAAATGGGAGATAAGAGCCCACAGTGGGAGTTAAAGAGCTGGAAGAGTTTTGGAAATGGAGGATCTGGAGGGAGAGTTGGTCAAGGAGTGACTTAATCTGAACTGTACTCAGAGGGACGGGAACAGGCACGAGCCCCAGGCGCCTCCGTTTACTCGGCCACACTTGAATTGTGGCCGTCTGCAGCCCTTGGGGCCGGGCCAGGGCTTCCCCAGCGAGGGGGCTGTCGGGACCCCCGGGGCCCCGAGCTCGCGCAGCGCGGCGGCTGAAGACACGCCCGGTCCGGCGGCGCTGGAGGCGGGCGGGCGAGCGCCGTGGTCGCCCTTCCTCCTCCTCCTCTCCCGCCCCGAGCGGAAGGCCCGCGTCCGGCGGGAGAACGAGTGTCCACCTCCTGGGCCCGGGGCTAAGGCGGGAGAGCGGCCACCACGGGGCGGAGTGGGGGGGGGCGAGGCGCGGGCGATCCCCGGGGCAGCGCCGCCACTCCGCGCTCCCGCCCCCGGTGGCCGGACGTGGCACCTCCCCGCGGCGGCCGGAGCCCGGAGGTGGGGTCGGGAGCCGGAGCCCCGGGGCTGGTGTGACCGCGCGGCCGCCGGCGCCCAGAAGCGCGTCTCGGGCTGGAGTTCAGGTACTGCGGGGCCGGGCGGCGGCGCGGGTGGCGGGGCTGGTGGCGGGATCGCCCTTCCCGGGGGGCGGCCGGGAGGGGGAGGGGTGGGGGCTGGGGCGCCGCGGAGCGGCCGGCGCGTGGTTCCTCCGGGTGGTGGGCCCCGCGCCTAGTCTGGCGGGCGCGGGTCGAGTCGGGCCCTTGCGTGCGGGCACTCTTCGCCGAGCGGCGGGGGCTGTCGGGGGAGCGCGCCGTGTGGCCAGCGCACGCGGTGGGGTCTCTCTCCGCGACACCCCGCGCCCGCCGAGCCGCGGGAGAACGCGGGGCCCCGAACGCGCTGTCCCCGCACGCGTCTGAGTCCTCCTTCCCCGACAGTGAACCCAACAGGAAAGGCCCCGAAATGCGCCGGCCAGCGGCCATCCGCTCCCCCGGCGTCCCCGGAGTCCCGCTGTCGCGCCACACCGCGTGACTCTGCCGCCCCCTGCGGTCGCCAGGCTAGTGCCTCTCTCCTGCCTCGGCCTACAAGAGCTTGGAGCCCCAGGTATGTGGTCCGCCCACGGCCGCGGCCTCCTGTCCCCGGGTGCAGCCAGCACCCCGCCTTTTCTGCGCGCCCGGCGCGCCACCGAGCTCCCGTCTCTGGGGACTACCGCGGGGCTAGAGCGACGCAGAGCGGAGGCTGCGGGGGCTGCACCGTCCGTGTGGACCGACCGGGACAAAGGGCCCGCAGGGGACTGGGAGGGCCGCGCAACCTCCCCACATGCCGCCTGGCCGGACTAGTCTGGGGTGCTGGCACTGAAGACGCGGCCCAGGACCCCGAAGCTCCGTGTGGCAGGGACACTGCCGTGCAGGCAGCGCCCCCACAGTGAGCACGCTACTGAGGGAAGACCATCGGAGAGGGGTGGCCTGGACAACCTCTCCACAGAGGGGTCCGATGTGAGGTGGCCTTTGAGAGAGTATGCTTTAATTCCTGATCTTTGTTGAGCATTCCAGGTTGTCTGCCTTTCTGGTCACCTCACCTGGATCTGCTCCTGCTGTCTTGGTGTGGTTTTTGTTTTTGTTTTTGTTTTTGTTTTTAAAGATTTTATTTATTTATTTGAGAGAGAGAGAATGAGAGACAGAGAGCATGAGAGGGGGGAGGGTCAGAGGGAGAAGCAGACTCCCTGCGGAGCAGGGAGCCCGATGTGGGACTCGATCCCGGGACTCCAGGATCATGACCTGAGTCGAAGGCAGTCGCTTAACTGACTGAGCCACCCAGGCGCCCTGTCTTGGTGTGGTTTTACCAGCCAGAAGCTGTCTTCATCCATTTCCCCAACAACCTCTAACTAAAAACCTGAGTCAGCCTGCTTGCCTGGACTGCTCTGCTGAGGTCTAGACCCATAACCCAACTTCCCACCTTCCCAGACTTGCCACAAACCCTGCAAAGCCTACAGGCCCCAGACTGAATGAGTACTGGACCCTGGGCCAGTCCCCATCTCAGCTTCCTCCTTCCTGAGGCTGGCACTTCCACCTCCCAGGCCTCCAGCTCTGAACACTGCAGTCATCTTTGTCTCCTTTTCCTCTCTTGCTCTTTCATTCAGGTGACAAGTATACGTGAGCCCCCCCTGTCCTACTGCCCAACCCCAATCTGGCCGTTTTCCGGCAGGGATTCCATGCTGCTCCCCCTGCTCTGGTGAGGCTTGGCCAAAGGCCTGAAGAGCTCCTTAAGCTCTAGCCTCTGGACCTCAGTTCTATGTAGGCACTGGCTCTGCGGCCCAGCCCGCTGCTGACAGCAATGCTGAGGCCAGGGCTCCGGGGATGTCACCACCCACGGCCACAATGGCTGGCCGGACTGCAAGAGGCTCCCTGCAGGGCGCCTGGGTGGCTCAGTTGGTTAAGTGACTGCCTTCGGCTCAGGTCATGATCCTGGAGTCCCTGGATCGAGTCCCGCATCGGGCTCCCTGCTCGGCAGGGAGTCTGCTTCGTCCTCTGACCCTATCCCCTCTCATGTGCTCTCTGTCTCTCTCATTCTCTCTGTCTCAAATAAATAAATAAAATCTTTAAAAAAAAAAAAAAAAAAAAAAAAAAGAGGCTCCCTGCAGCCAGACAAGTGCGCTAACTCCTTGCTCTTTGTGTTGAGGCCCCAACACACGCTAAAGGAGCTGCACCCACCTAGAGTAGCAGGTTCTGCAAAAGGCACAATGTGAGCATCTGCATGGTTATCTGCCTACTGAGCCCCCACTGCAAAAGTATCCTTAAGTTAGGGGCAAACAGCAAACATATGTACACACAGTTTTATTATCCATTAAGCTGTTTTTATTTGGTGAATCAGAATCCTTTGTGAACACAGTAACTCACAAGATAAAATTTTCGAGGAAACGTCTTTGTATGTGAACAGTCGCGGGTATCTGTAGATGCTGGAAGGCAAAAATGGGCAGGCATGGGTGGCATGCATGAGGGAAAACAAAGCTCCCAAGGTGGGCTCAGACTAGGAAGAGAGAGGGTTAGTGCCTGGGTGCATAGGGCGGGCTTCCTAGAGGAGGTGACTGTCCTCCCAGGAGCTGCTACTCAGAATTGCTTCTTGTTGTCTTCAAGTCCAGAGAGTAGAAACACTTGGTGAAAGAGGTCTTCAGACCTGAGTGTGAGAACCAACGTGCAGGGCTGGTGTTAGTGGGCATAAAGATAGCTCCACTAGGCACTGTCAAGATGTTCTGGTTCCAGATCAGCTGAGAGCCCCTCCTGAGAATACTGCAGATACTGCCTCTCCCTTTTAGGAAACACCATATCCTCACACCACTAACCTCCCCTCCCTCCCCTGTCCTGCAATCTGTAGCATCTGCAGCCTTGGGGAAGGGGGTGGAGGGTGACTCTGAGTTCCAAATAGTATTTAGGAGGCTTAAATGAACCTGCTTTTCAGTTCCCACCCCAGCTGCCGGTCACCCTCCTCTGCATCCCTCCCCATGCCAGCCCAGAGAAAGCAAGCCCTCCCACCTCCCCAAAGTCCCCATCGCCCATTAGGAGCCCCAGCTTCCTAAGACTCATAGCTGCTCTTGCACTTGATCCATGAATGCCCACCCAGCTCCTCCCCTCACTCACCTTGCTCCCCTCTTGGCTCTGGGGAGGTACTGATTTCTGGCCTGTTCTGCTCCACCTGTGCTTGCCTGCTCTTTTGGTTCCTAATAATGCATGAGTAACCTGGACAGTGTCCACCGTGTCACCTGCCTCCTTCATTCTGTCCCCTTCACCAGAAAAGACGAAGAGGGAGAGAAGAGTGGGCAGAAGCAAAGGAGCCCTCTTTCTTCTCCACCAAAGCCAACCCCCCATCCACTCATTGCAAGTTTGCTCCTTTCCTTGCCATTCCACAAATATTTTTTTAACATCGACTACGTGCCAGGCACTGAGGGTACAGAGATTAGTAAGTACAGGGCCTGTTCTCAGGAAGTTCGGGGTGGGAATGGGAAGAGGGACTCACAGGCAAGCCAACAATTACACTGCAGGGTGACGGAGTACTGTGTTTGTTGGGGAAGCTCAGGACACTGTAGGGGTTTCCAAAAGGTCAGGAGACCTCTAAGCTGGGCCCAGTAGGAGGAGCAAGAGTAGCAGGACAAAGGTGGGGGTGTGAGCCTGCAAAGCAGAGACCATGTTGTTGCGGTATCTGCTAGTATTCTGAGAGCAGGTGGGGGTAACTTTCCCACAGTGGAGTTTAGGCTTTGCTGGAGACTTCTGGCAGTTTTGGGGGTGGGTGATGGAGGTAAACTGGTTTTCAGCAGGGTTTGCTTCTAGGAAATTGATTCTGCCTGCAGTAAGCTTGGAGGCAGGCACAGATTCCAGACAGGGTTCTGCTGCTTACCAGCTGTGTGCCCCTGGGCGAATCATTTCCCCCTTAAAACCCCAGTGTCCTCATCTGTAAAATGCAGATAGCAGTTGTGAGGATCAAGATAAATATTTATATAAAGCACCTGGAACCTAACTGACACAGGGGAAAGGGGGGGTTAAGGCTGTGAGGCTGCCCCTGCCCCCTGACCTGGGTCTTGCCCCCTCCTTTCTCGGCTCCCCTGTGATCTCAGAACGTTTTGGACCATTGTTTATTAGGGAAAGATCACATGGAGAAGCTAACAAAGCCGCCAGGAAGCCGCCAGGGTGGGACTGGGTTGGGGAGGGCAGGAGTATGGGTACAATCTCAGCGCTCCAGGAGATGCCAGGGTAGAGGCGGGGGGCTGCCAGCCTGGAGAGCCTCGGGAGGGAGTGGGCTAGTCGCCAGCTCCTTCCCCGGAGCTAAGGGGAATAGCTGACGCCCTCCAACTCCAGAGTTGCTCCCAGGGGCTGGCCCTACCTCTGTCATCCCCGACCCGGGAGGTGGCAGCGCTAAAGATCGTGTGACCAGGGAGGGGATGTGTCAGCCCGTGGCTGTCCGTGTTGGAGGGGCCAGCCTGACCCGCGGCTCCCCCCCCCCCTCCCCGCCGCCGTCTGTGCTCTTGCAGGCCCCGCGGAGCTGGCCTCAGCACTCAACTGCGCAGCCATGGAGGCCCCGGCGCCTGGGGGCGACCGCGCCTCCCCAGCCTCGTCCACTCGCAGCCTGGACCTGCGGCGGCTGTCCGCGCGCGCCGACTCGGCCTACAGCGCTTTGTCCGCGGCCTCCGGCGCTCCCGAGCCGGCCACGCCGTCGCCTGGGACCGACCTCCTCCCTTACCTGGACTGGGACTACGTGCGCGTGGTGTGGGGCGGCCCGGCCCCCGCCAGCGGCCTTCGCACGTCGCCGCAGCCCCGCCGCGGGCCGCGGCCGCCGGAGCTCCGGGGGACGCCGGGGCCGCTCAGCCGCCAGGCCACCCCGCTGCTGTTTGCGCTGGCGGCCGAGGCGGAGGCGGCGGCGCGGGCCGTCGAGCCGCCCAGCCCGCCGGCCTCGCGGGCCGCCTACCGCCAGCGGCTGCAGGGCGCCCAGCGGCGAGTGCTGCGGGAGACGTCCTTCCAGCGCAAGGAGCTCCGCATGAGCCTGCCCGCCCGCCTGCGGCCCCCCGCGGCGCACCCGCGCTCCGCCTCGCTCAGCCACCCGGGCGGCGGCGGGGAAGTGGAGCCGGCGCGCTCCGGGGCTCCCTCGAGGGGAACCGCTGGCCGGGGGCGCCTAGCCACCCAGCAGCGGAAGTGGTGCTTCTCGGAGCCAGGGAAGCTAGACTGCGTGGGTCGGGGCGGTGGATCCGCCGGGGAATGCTCGAGTGAGGCCGGCTCCAGTTCTGGCATTGCCAGGCCCGAGCCCCAGGAGCGTAGGGTGCTGGCAGAATTCGAAGGTCGCCGGCACAGATGGCCGCCTGAAACCCAGCCCCGAGCCATAGAGGACCCAGAACCTCGGTCCCTGAAGCTCGGTGACGCCTATAGACCTTCTAGTCGGAGTCGGAGCGCTTCAGGGGAAGTCTTGGCTCCCTGGGGAGGTCCAGGAGGGGTCATGCCCCTTGTCCAGGTGTGGAAGAGAGGGGCTGCAGGCTTGGGGTGGGGGACATCTGGGAGCCTGCAAATTTGAGCTACATTTTCAAGCAACTGTTTGCCTTTCCAGGCTGTTCCTCACGGAGCAGAAACCCCCAGACCATTGTTTCAGACCAAACTTGCCAGGTGAGAGACATGGACCACTGGGGGACTGCAAGTTGGAGAAAAGCAGTTGTCATAGCTCTTACCCAAGAAAGAGAGGGCCCCTTCCCTCCCCTCAGTTTGAGCTTTCTGATTCTGTCTTTTGCAAACTACATTCCCTGTGGTCCCCCCCACACCCACCCCACCCCATTGTGTCTCTGGTGCAGCACCAAAAGGGCTTCCTTCCTGGTCACTGTGGTCAGTGTGGGGTGCCTTCCTCCAGGTTCCTGACTCAAAAGGAAGCCGCAGTGGTGTGTCCTGCAGAGTATCCCCAGAGCAGTCCCATTGGCTGGGAACAGAGGGTCTCAGAGACATGCATGGGGTCTGCCGGGCTCCCATCCCTTCCAGATGATGAGGTTTTCCTGGAAGAAGTCCCCCTGGACAGAAGGAGATCACCTCCAGACACCCATGCCCCCCCAGGAAACCCACCCAGGTGAGTTGCCTCTTGCTTCCAAGCAGAGTGGGACATCCCTTTCCCACACATATCAACAAAATGCTAGAGGGACAGGGAGCCCGCTGGAGCCTGGGAGCCTGGCTGGTGGGGACGGGGACAAGTGGCCCTTGGAGGCCACTGCTTGTCTTTGGACAGAGCTTTTTCTGATTCAGTGTCTCTCCCACTTCCAGTGTCCATGTCTCTGACCAGCAGTATGGAACTGGCTCGGGCCAGAGGGCTGACCAGGCTACAGTCTCCCTGGAGCGCCCCCTCCATGAGCACCCAGAGACTGCAGGGGCAGATGACTGCTGGCAGAGGATAAATGGTTCTATGGGTGTCTCTAAGACCATAAACTACAGCCCACCCAGGACTGCAAATGGTGACATCGCAACCTTTGACCCCAGTGGACGGCTGACCATTGACTCACTTGCAGCTGCAGAGAGTGACTCTCTCAAACCTCTCCCAGCTGATGCCCTGGGACCTCCAAGCAACAATACCCCGGGTGCTCCTGGCCATACCGCCCTGGCTTGGGGCACTGGCCAGCCTGCTTCCAGGCCAACATGGCCCAGTCCTCGCCTTGAGGAGCTGGTTCGGGAGCTGGCCAGACTGGATCCCTCTATGAGTGACACTCTCACTTCCTGTCCCAGCCCAGAGCCACCTCTGGACCTGCTTGATGGGCTGATTCCTTTAGCAGAGGTCTGGGCTGCCATGAGGCCAGCCTGTGAGGAGGCCGGAAAGGAGGCTGGTGGTAGTCCTGAGCCAGGGTGAGTGAGGGGCACCAGGGACTCAGGGGATTCTAAGTCCCTGCAGTCTGGGGCAGGACAACCCAGGGAGCTCTGGCTTTGTCCCCAGGTTCTATCTATTTAGCTCCAGCCAGTTCCTGCCAACTTGTCAGGAGGAGACAAGGTTTGGAAACCATACCACCCACCTTGTGCCTGACCAGGCCTGTGGCCAGGGTCTCCCTGATGCAAATAACAGCATCCAAGCCAAGAAAGTGAGTGCGGAGGGGCTGGTGGAGATGGGGTGTGTGGCAAGAGCCCAGAGTATGGGCCGAGGAGCCGGGGTCTGGCCTCACCCTTAAGTACCCACGCCTTCCCTGCAGATGGAGCTAGCCGACCTCCTCCAAAAGATGCTGCGGAACCTTCAGGCCGAGCAGGAGCAGCTGCACGGGGCGGCCCAGGCTTGGGCCAGGCGCGGGGCCGCTCTGGAGGCCGCGGTGGGCCAGGCCTGTGCTCCCCGCGACCGAGAGCGGTTCAGCAGGTTCATGGCCGATCTAGAGCGCGTGCTTGGCCTGCTGCTGCTGCTGGGCAGTCGCCTGGCCCGCGTGCGGCGCGCCCTGGCCCGGGCGGGCGCAGACAGCGACCCGGACGAGCAGGTGACCGGCGGTCGGGGCTGGGGAGGGCGGGGGCGCCCAGGGGCCTGCGGGCTCGGGCTCGGGCTGGGGCGGTCCCGGGATCGGCGGCCCCCTCGCCCTGCTCACGGCGCGCTGTCCCCGCCGCTGCAGGCCTCTCTGCTGCGGCGACTCGGGCTCCTGCAGCGACAGCAGGAGGACGCCAAGGAGCTGAAGGAGCACGTGGCGCGGCGCGAGCGGGCCCTGCGCGAGGTGCTGGTGCGGGCCCTGCCCGCCGAGCAGCTGAGTGCCTATCGCGCCCTGCTGGCCGGCAAGGCGGCCGTCCTGGCCCAGCGGCGCAGCCTGGACGAGCGGGTCCGGCTCCTTCAGGACCAGCTGGACGCTGTCAGGAGCGACCTGGGCCCTCGTCCCCTGCCCCCCAGGCTGGCCTGGCCCCCAGAGACCCGTCTTCCAGATAAACCGCCCTTCCTTCCGCCCCCCCCTCTAATTACAGGCGGTGGGGGTGGGGAGCACGGCCTCTGCCCCTCCCCCACATCACTGGGGTGACGCTGGTGGACTCGGTGCTCTTCCCTGGCCGGGAGCATACTTCTAAGTGTTTTCATGTAGCCTTACCCAAGTCCTGTGGATTATTTGGTAATTAATTTATGGATTTTAAAAACTGCAGTATTCCCCCCTTTTTGTGAGGAGAGAGGCTCTGTCTGGGTTGGTGGGAGGGAGAGGAGACAAATCAGAGGAGCATTTCAACTTAATATGCAAAATGGTCTTTTTTTCTTTTCTTTTTTAATCATAATTGATGTGAGGAGTGTGTGTGTCACCTGGAGCCTAGCTTGGGGGACGAATTTTGTTTACAGACAGTGGACACCAGCCTTGCCTGACTAGAGCAGAGGAGGGATTTGCTGGAGGACCTCAGGTCAACTCTGGGAATCCCTAGGAAGACTGGGATACAGGCTTGAAGCCAGGAGGGACCAAGGGAATGCCAGGCCTTCCAGCTCCACTGGCCCCAGTAATCCCTACAGTTCTGGTGACTCCATCAACACCACAAAAGCCTAGGCCTGACTGGCCGGCCCCAGGTCTCCTTTGCTGGTTTTTACCCAAGCCTCCAACCTCAAAAGTGGAAGTGGGGGTAACTGCTTCCCTTCAAGACTCAAGGGATAAGGAATTTCCCCATACACAAAATAGGTTCAGTTGCTTTGCTGCCTAAAAACCTTGATGAATTCAGGGACATTTATTCCAAGACTCAGAAAGAACTATATTATCAAAAATGAGTTTATCCAGCTCTCCTTGGACACCCCACTGGATCCACCAGGCTTGAGGAGGGTGTTGGGCATGGGAGCTGAAGGTGAGGCACAGGAGACCTGGAGACCGAGAATAGGGGGGTTGAGGACCTGGAGAGGCAGCTCTGCTTGTGTGCTAGAGAGGCTAAGCTGGAGGTGAGCTGGGGTTGGGAGTGGGGAGTTAGGTGCTGGTGTGGAATGAAACGGAGGACACACACTGCCCTCTGTTTGTGCATCAGCCCTGTGTGCACAGAGTCAATGTTAAGTTCTCAAATGTACATGTGAAAATGTGCTTTAGTATTTGCAGCTGCACACGCCAGGGCCAAGAACATTGTTCATGCAAATGTTGAGTGTATTTTTGGAAGTTGGGCACATTAAAAGGCATGTGTATGTGTATGTAAAGCCAACTGACCCCAAAGTGAGAAATCTCTGCTTCTGGGCTTGTTTTCTGATGCGTATTGTCACTAAGTGCAACTGGTTGGGAATTTTAAATGGTCGTATTCATACCAAAAGCATTAGTTATAACAGTTGGACTATTGAGCACAGAACAATGCTAACATTGTGCCTCTTTATAAAAAAACATATGGGGCTCCTGCTGAAACACTTGTGGGTTCTAACATTATGCTTTGCTTCTCTCCTTTGAACCCTGTGGGTGGGGCCTCCGCTCCAAAGTCCTCAGCCTAGGCAGCTCGCTCTGAGATAGTCTGGATGGAATAAATTTATTTCTGCCTTTTGCCCTGTACAGCACCCTCTGCATCCTCCCAATGTGATATTCTTAAGAAAACACTTAACAGTCATCAGTTAGGCCAATGGAAATTGTGTAGTATTCAGAAAAAGCACTTCCTGCCCCAGATGGGCTTGAGGAGCAGTGTCTGCCATGGCCCCCTTAAAATGCACTTTGGTTCTGTCCTGGGTTTTTCCACGGGGAATTATGAGGCTCCTGTGCTTGTCCTTACCAGATGGGGAGAGTAGGGCCTCACCTCCTTCACCCATCTTTCATCTTGCCTCTGTGTTCTTCCTGACCCATTTTATGTCCCTTCCACACTGTTATTCCGTCAGAGTGCAAGAATGAGCACCATAGGTGTTTAGTATTGGCACCACAGACTTTTTTTTTTTTTTTTAAAGATCTTTATTTGAGAGAGAGCACGGGGAGGGGCAGAAGGAGAGGGAGAAGCAGACTCGCCCTGAGCGGGGAGCCCCACAAGAGGCTGGATTCCAGGACCCTGAGATCATGACCTGAGCCGAAGGCAGACCTTAACCCACTGAGCCACCCAGGCGCCCCCAGACTAAGACTTTTTGTGGTGGTGTGTGGGCAGGTGCCAGAAGCCCGGTGAATTCCACCCGCCAGGATGCTGCCAGCAGAGGGCACTGTTCGCCCTGTGATGAAGGCTACCTGCCCTTCACTGTAGCCTCCTCCCCCGGCAGTAGGCCCTCTGGGCTAAGCACCGGGTCTTTGCCTTCTCCGCAGAGCAGTGCTCTTTAAGCCTGAAGGCTGGATCTGAGCCTTTTTGCTTCTGTTGGTAAGAAATTCTGGCCAGCCAGCCACGGGGAAGCTGGCTTGCTTTCCTTTGTCACCAGGCCTTGGTTGGAAAGTTGTTGGTCAATGAGAAGTGGGCAGGAGGGAAGCCGGGGGTGTTGATCTCGAGTATCAGTATCAAAAAGAGCCTTCCCGGGGTGGAAAAGAGGGTTTCAAGGGTCTCTGTTGGGGTTTCTGCCCCCACCCCCTCAAGCCGCCAGCGCCCGCCCCCGTTCGTTCCGCCCCCAGCCCCGCCGCCTGCGGCGCGGTGCCCTGGCTTTTTGCAGAGGGCCGGCTTCGGCTGGCGTTGTTGCTAGGCAACAGGCAGCCCCGCGGCCGCCTCCGCGCTCGCCTCGTCCCGCCCCCGCTGCTCCGCCTAATACGGATTTAATGAGTGTACTTTCTACCTTCAGACTCTAAATTGCAAACCGAATAGGGAAGCGGCGTTCTGTCTGGAACAGCCTGCTCGGCACACCACGTCCCTCCGCGAGCGGCGGTGTAAACCTCCGGGATCCTCGCAGGAACAGATCGCGGTGCTGTTCATTCACATGTAAATCAGAAGCTTGGGTGGAAATGTAGGTCAAATGTGGTTGAGCACCGCAGGGGGAAGAGGTGAAAGGGGAATGTGGGAGCAGAAGGAGGAAGAGGTGGGGCCGGCAACTGCTCCTAAAGCAACCCTCTCCAAGACCCCCGCAGTGTTACCATCCCAGCCTGGCTGCGGGTTGGGCCGGCAGGGTGGGTGTTTACCTGTTGTCGTTGAAACTTAAATCAGTGCCACCTTCCCCCTAGGACGATCCCCCCCCCCCCCCGGCCTCCCCGGAGGAGACGTCTGGACACACACACACACACACACACACACACACACACACACACACACCCTCCCTCACCCTTGTTTCTTTCTCTTCCTTTTTTCCACTTCCCTGCAGAAACACGTGAGGTCACCAGTGCTTCACAGATTCAAGTCCAGAGGTGTGACAGTTCTGGAAGGGTAAGGCCAGGACAAGAGATTCAAGGCAAAAAGCAATCTGGAGAGCAATAAAAAGTCTATTTGTCAAACTATTTTAAAAGGCCAAATAATTTCTTCCAGGAAAAGGCCAAAAAAGGGGGAGAATATGGGTTCTGAGTGGGCCCAGCTTTAGAACTGTGTTGAGGAGTGCTTTCAGTCCAGCTGGCTGGATGACATCTGTTTAGGTCTAGAAGATAGGGGTAGGGATGCTACGGGAATATGCATTAAGAAAGACATTTTGATGTCTATTTTCAACTAAAGTGATATCATACAGAATGTGAGATAATCTCCCTTTGGTGGGAATATACATTTTTCCCATCGGAGTCCATTGTTATTTATGTATACAAATACGAACATGGTTAAAGAATGGTGATCTTGTAAAGCAAAGCCACAAATGAGAGCTATTTGGTTTTGGAATGCAGCCAGATACCCCTGTGGGACTAACGGGCACCCCTGGTTATATTTCAAGATGGTATTGCAGTTCCCAAGGAGCTCTACCTACTTCCCTATGCTGCACCCTCCTCACAGTCTGTAGGATAGATACTGCCATTCTTGCGGCCGATGGAAGAGGGAGATAGAGCTTGGAGAACTGGGTGACTCACCTAAGGTCAATAGATGAGTAAGGGCTGAGATGAGACCACCTTGCTTTTCTGCAGCAGGATACTGTGATGGAAAAGAGCACCAGGAGGCCATCCCAGCTCTGACTGTTATAGCTGTGAGGCCTGAACAAGTTACAGTTTCTCGAGGCTTCTGTTTCCTCACTTTAAATTCAAGATACCAACAGGACATACCTTGTAAGGTTGAGATTAATACCCGCACAGTGATTAAAACTGCTCCTGGTGCTTCACAAACCCAGGCTGTATGTGCATCACCCATATCCTGGTCTCCATTAGGTAAGTGAGACATGTTCTAGAACAACCTCCAACCTCCTTTAAAGGAAGTATAAACCTTTATTTAAAAGCTTGCTCTGGATGACTCATAAACATCTATATATAACAATTAACTTCTCTCCCATTAAAAGGAGTGATTCTCTTCCCTGTGACAATTCTAGCCAGCTAAATTGCCTTAATTTATAAGCAACTTTTTTTTTGGTCATTTGTTGAAAATACCTCTCATAGGTGTACCTCCTGCTAGGCAATAAATAGTTCTTGAAAAGTTTCCATATGTGTATCAAAGTATAATTTCCTACTGACTTACAGTTTCAGAAAGTTTTGACCTGCAAGGAAAAAACGGTGGTTTCTAACACCTAAGTTTTAAGTTTACTGATCCTAAACTCTTGCCAAATGTTTTATTTCACTCAGAAGGCTTGTAGCATGCTTCTGAAACACAAGGATTCTTCTGGCAGTTTAACCCTCCTCTGATTTAAATGTGTAATAGACATTGGTTATTATTACTTTGCTGGTTTAGATTTTGTCTTTCTTAAGGCAGGTCATACCTGTGTTTGTGACCTTTGTTATCCTGTCTCAGTCAAGCCTCTCTTTTACCATGGAAAATCTCTAATATTTTATTCTGTCTTCCAGACCTTCAGCAACTGAGATTGCTATAATTATTGCCTCCCACAATTTTTCTGCAGAGGCAGATTTAATTTGCATTTTTAAATAATTTATGCAGCTTAGCTAGAGTTCCAGGCAAGGAAGGTGGGGAGGGTCAGATCAGGGCCTGCATTCATCTGTTGTTTTTTTTTTGGATGCTATATTCGTGTGTGGATGCAGCCTGCATTTAGCTGATCAATCCAAACTCTTTCAATAACAGAATGCCTGGAAGAGGCAGAAGAGGATGAGGAGAAACTGAAGGAATTAAGTAGATAAAAAGACAAGAAAAATACAGTAGCAAGAGCTGGAGAATGTTTAAGGGAAGTACATTATCACACAAGCAGGAACAAAATGGGAGACTTGTTTATTTCATTGCTTAAATCAAAACATTCCATTAAGGATGGCCTTAAATAATGACAGAGGCCTCACTGGTATATATATATAGAGAGAGAGAGAGAGAGAGAGAGAGAGAAGCCATACTCCTCTTGTGCCACAAAACTATTTGATATAACTAATGACATGCAAACATAATTTGCAAAAACAGAGCATTAACACAATAGGATATTTTAAAAAGCCTGGTTGAGCAAATAGAGTCCCCATTTTTAAAACAGAAAAAGAGCTATTATAGTTACAATGTGTTGAACCTGGGACCTCTTGGTAAATAGCTACAAACCTTCTCAATTACAGATCGGAACAAAGGTCCAGAGAAGTTAAGCCATCCTTCTAAGGTCACTGAGCAAAGAATTCTGCATTTGCTGTAAGTTGTTTGCTTTCAGATGGCTTTTAAAGGTGGATATAACATACTTTTTGTTTCTATAGAATAGAATTTACATATAAAATAGTTGCTGTTTAAGTGTATCCACTTAACCACTTATTTTTCTGGTATAATGCTATGACATGTTTTTCTTTGAATATTTACCTACTGCATTGAGAGGCTCAGCCAGACCGGAAAACCAGATTCCAAAACATGGCACAATGGTGCATTCACAAATAAATCACACTTAAAAAATTAAATATTCATGCCAAATCAAAATAATCACCCACCAGTGCCGGAGACACTGTTTATATTTCATCATAAAGACAACCAGAAATTAAAAGTATTTGCCAAAATGTCTCTTTTCTCTCACTGTTAAATCATTCTTACTCCCAAGATGCACTTGTTTCCTAATATTGAGCATTCACAGTACAATTGAAATTAATTACATTCACAATGGTCACATTCTGTGTTCAAGTCTCTAGAACCTTGAGCTCCTAAAATGAGGTAGATAAACCTTTAAGGGTTTTGTTGGTTGGGACTAATTTCCTTTAGATCTTGATCATCTGTTTTTTCTTTAAATAGAATTCCAAAATACTTAGCAAAAGACTGAAAATGAGCATTTTGCCTAAAAATGGAAAAATATAATTTCAAAAGGTTATTATGAAAGTTGTTTTACCTCATTTTAATTTAAAAACAGGATAAAGGCATCAAATTACAAAACCACCAGGTATCTTGAAGCTGACAAACAATCCAGCAGCACACAACATTTTTTAAAGAGATCCTTGCTCTAGTTGTGGCTTGGGAGCGTGTAGACGCAGAGGCTTCGGCTTAACTTTGATCCTAAAATTCGAGTCTCCAATGTTCAAGCCTGATTTCTGGAGTTCTTTGTAGGCGCTCTCACTGAGATCTTGACTCCCATCTCCAGAGACAGGTCAAGCTTCAGGCAGAAGCTAGAAAGCCAGAGGCGTAGGCCCACCAGGGCAGGCAAGACTTTCTTTTTTTTTAAGATTTTATTTATTTATTTGAGAGAGAGAATGAGATAGAGAGAGAGAGAGCATGAGAGAGGGGAGGGTCAGAGAGAGAAGCAGACTCCCCGCTGAGCAGGGAGCCCGACGTGGGACTCGATCCCGGGACTCCAGGATCATGACCTGAGCCGAAGGCAGTCGCTCAACCAACTGAGCCACCCAGGCGCCCATGACTTTCTGAAACTATAAGTCAGTAGGCTTCAGTGGACAAAGCTGGAAACAGGATGGAGCCAGACGTGTTGAGCCGCTGTTTTGGGCAGGCTTAGACTGTGAGGGGCAGGCCGGGTTACGTCAACCAAGCTGGGCTTCAAGGGGCCGTCAGGTTGTAGGGGGCAGGCTGGGCACCAGGCCAGCCAAGGGCCCCGGAGTAGGTCGACGAGAGATCTCTGAAAAAGCCGGCAGGCCACTGCGGGTCTTGGTCTTTTTACGTGGAGCCATGGGCGAGGCACCCAAGAACTTGCTAAAGGAGCCCGACTGCCTCATGCCTCGAGCCAGGTCTTGGAGCATCAGGTCGTCGGCCAGGACACCCAGGAACGCGCTGGTGGTGGAACTGAGGATGGTGGCGGCCACCTGCACTGGGCGCCGGGCCGCAAAAGTGCCCCCACCAGCCCCGGTGGCGTCGGCCTCGGGAGAGCCTCGGAGGCAGGGGTCGCCGAGGAGGCGGCGAAGCGCGTACGAGGCGCTGGGCGGCAGGTACTGGTAGGCGCGCCGCCCGCTGTGGTCACGCACGTGCACCTGCGCGCCCAGGCTCACCACCAGCAGCACGGCGGCGTCCTCGTGGCCGTGCAGAGCCGCCAGGTGCAGCGGCGTGTAGCCGCCGTGCGAGCGCGCGTTCACGTCCACCGGCGCGCCCCCGCGCCGCGCGACCTCCACCAGCTGCAGCGCCATCTCGCGGTCGCCGCTCTTGGCGGCCCAGTGCAGGGCCGTGAAGCCAGATATGAAGTCGCGCTTGGCCGCCAGGCCGCTGTCGCGCAGCAGCAGCCCGTGCAGCTGGTGCGTCCAGCAGCCCCCGGCCGCCCGCACCAGCCACTCGTGCTCGGTCGGCTCCAGGGGCACGGCGGACGGCGGCGGCGCGGCGGGCACTTCCTCCGCGTCCGGACTCAGCAGGCGCGGGCCGGCGCGCGACAGGCGCCTCAGGTGCGGGGAGCGGCCCGGGCCCAGGCTGAGGCCCAGGCCAGACTCTTCCACCGACAGCCGCCGCAGCATCGGCGGGGAGCTCCGCGGGCTGGGCTCTTCCGACAGCTGCCGGCGCAGGCCCTGCTCCTCGGCCCGGAGCCGGAGCGCGGCGGGGCCCGGGACGCAGCGCACGGGCAGCATGCAGGGCTTGGGCGGCGGCGCTTGCCGAGGGGATGGAGGCGCTTCTTTGGTCGCCCCACGCCCAGGTTCCGGGGCTGGCGCCTCTGCCTGGGGCAAGGCCTCCGCCGACGGCGACCTGGACGGCGGGGCCACGTCTGCCGAGAGTCGCTCGGGGGGCAGGGCTAGCTCAAAGGCTGGAATCTGGGGGTCGGAGGGCCCCCCTGCCTGCAAGGCCGGCCCTGACAACAGCTCCCCGGTCGGCTGAGCGGGCTCAGGGGCCGGAGCCCCGGGCGTGTCCTGTGGCTCCAGCGGCCGGGCCGGGTCCTCCCGTGGTTCCACCGGCTGCTGCGCCGCGGCCAGGGATGGAGCCCCCGGGCCGGCCGGTTCTCCCGGTGAGACGGAGGTGACCTTCGACGGCAGCGCTGGTGCCCCGGGCGTGCCGGGGACGCACGAGGGCAGGGGCGCTGGTGCCTCCCGGGGCCGCAGCTGCTTCTTCAGCACCACGAACTTGACGCCGTCGAGCTCCTTCACCACCGCCACGTCGTTGACAAACTGCTTGAAGCGGTGCCTGCGGGCGGCGCGGCCGTGTGGGTCGCCCGCATCCAGCAGGGGCTTGAAGCGGCTCAGCAGATCCGAGTTGCGCACCTTGCCGCCGTGCTCCTGCAGGAAGCCCAGCACCGCCGCCTGGCTCACCCCGGCGGCGGCGGCGGCGGCGGCGGCGGCCAGCGCCATGGTCAGTCCCGCCCGGCAGGGGAGCCAAGGCCTCCCCACCCGCCCTCGGTTCCCGGCTGCCGGGGCAGGTGCACGTCTCCGCGCCCGCCGGGACGAGCGGAGCGGGGGGTTCCGGGGGCGAGGTTCCTCCTCGGCCAGGCTCACCTGAACGTTTTCACCGAGGCGGAACGGGCGTGTCCCTGAACCTGGACCTTGGTCACGCCCGCGCCGTGGAGCCCGGGTGTCTCCCGGAGGAAGGTGCGGGGGGCCGCCTCGCGTGCCCACCGCCTCCGCCCCGCCAGGCCCCCAGCCTTCGGGGTAGGTTTCTGCCTTTGTATTGTGTCCAATGGGCGCCAGGCTCCATCCCCCGTGCTCAGTGCTCGCCTTACAGGTGACAGCTGCCACCAGGGCCGCGGAGGGAATGGGGAAGCGGAAATTATCCCCCCCCCCCCCGGGAATTAAAGGCGCAGTGCCATGCTTCAGCGGGCTCCCGGTTGCTAGGTGGGTGTGTTCCCCAGGCACGCCGCGGACGACCGGGAGAGGCAAAAATTTTTATTTCCTTAAGGAATAGTTCACTACCACAGAGTATCGGGAGATTATTTAAAAGCAATCATTCATTTATTTGAAGACCATCAATACCTTTCCCTTTGTCGACTGCGCTTCACAAGGAAAAGGGCTTCTTGCAATTTGCAGCAAAGACAACTCGCTGCGCACGGCAATGTAGGTTACCCAAGGTTTAGAAGAGATTTTTTTTTTTTAATTTTTTAATTTTTTAAAGATTTTATTTATCTGAGAGAGAGAGAATGAGAGAGAGAGAGAGCACGAGGCGGGGAGGGTCAGAGGGAGAAGCAGACTCCTCGCTGAGCAAGGAGCCCCATGAGGGACTCAATTCCGGGACTCCAGGATCATGACTTGAGCCGAAGGCAGTCACTTAACCAGCTGAGCCACCCAGGCTCCCCTAGAAGAATATTTTAAAAGGCAATTGTGTCATGATAAAATAGTACATTTTCACATGGAATTTTGAAAATAAAACCACAGAAAAACACAAAGGAGAAATATCACTTGAAGTCACCATTAACATTTTGAAATATTTTTCTTCTCCCCCACACACGTGTATACATGTTTTTGTTTTAAAATGAGAAAGCGAAATTGTAATCATGCTGTATTTTAAAAACTTCGTTTAATCCATAAGTATTTGTTGACTGCCTAGTTTGTACCAGTACCTTTTCAGGCTGTAATACACCACTTAGCAAGACAGATAAAAACCCCTAACCTAGTGGAGACCACATGGCTGTGGGGGGATCGGAGGGGGACAGAAATAATATGGTGAAACTGAAAATTGTATAATAAGCTAGATCAATACTATGGAGAAAAAACAGGAGGGGCAGATTGCAATTTTGCACCCTGTGTTCAGGATACGACTCATTTGAAGGACTTGATTATACAATTATACAATACAATTATATACAATACAAATGATACAATACAATCATACAAGGACTTGAAGAGATCAGGTCCTTATACAGCTAGGTAGGAGAAGCAGCTTTTTGGCTGAGTAAACCACCAGGGCAAAAACATGTGATCAGTTTCTTAATTTACAAACGCCAAACTACAAGTATAGAACCAGAGGTACCATTTCTTCACAGTTACAGAGAACAAGCCTGGAGCCAAAATTGCACCTTTGAATCATAGCTCTACCTTGGACTACTTGATTGACCTCTCTGTGCCTCAGTTTTCTTACCTGTAGTGTGGGGATGATAATAATAATGCTTACCTCACAGGTTGTTGGGAGGATTAAATGAGAAAATAAACACAAGAGACTTAAAACAATGCTTGGCCCACAGTAAACATTCACATTGTTATTGGTTGTATAGCAACTACTATACCATTATTACTGACCCAAAGAAAAAAGAGAACAGTAAAATGTGAAAGACCATCCTTTCCCCAATCCCATTTCCCAAGGCAATTTCCAGAATGCATACGATTAAATCTTTTTTCTTCCACTTTATATTATATTGTGAGTATTTTCCTCGATGACAATATCCTTTAAAAATATGTGATTTTTACTATAGCATCAAATAAATGTAGTAGTATTACCCTTTGTTTTCTTATAGTTGGTAGTCTATATTGTTTCCAGTTTTTAATTCTTATGAATGGTGGTGCTCTTATATAAAACTGTGCACATTGCTGATTAATTCCTTAGGATAGAATCCTACAAGTATAATTACTAGGTCAAAGGGATTTATTTTCAAAACTCTTGAAACTTATTTTCAGATTGTTTTCCAGAAAAGTTACAGCCCCATGAAAGTACTTTGTCTTTCCCTCAATGATATGGAGTAGCATCTTTTAATTTGTCAGTTTGGAAGGTGAAAAGTTGTAGCTCACTCTAGTTTCCATTTATTTTATCACTGAGGATGTTAAACTTTTCCCCACTTATTTATTGTCCACTTGGATTTGTTCTTTTGTGAATTGCCTTTTCCCCCTTTACCCATTCATATTTTCTTGTTGATACGTAGTTATTAACCTTTCACTATAGATGTTGTCAAGATTTTCCCAATTTGCCATTTGCCTTTTAATTTTATTAACGACAACTAGTTTTTAATTGTAAATATTGTATCCTTGTGGCTTAAGAATGTTAGTGCAAAATAAGAAGATACATCTCCCATTTAAAGGAGAACTTTTAGGGGCGCCTGGGTGGCTCAGTCGGTTGAGCGTCTGCCTTCAGCTCAGGTCCTGGGATGGAGCCTGCTTCTCCCTCTCCCTGCTGCTCCCCCTGCTTGTATTCTCTCTCTCTCTTTGTCAAATAAATAAATAAAATCTTTAAAAAAATAAAGGAGAACTTTTAGGATCAATTTACTCTGTAATATTAAGCAGTCTACATCAGAATGATAACAATGCCCTTGAGGAAGTCCTTGTGTTTTTGACATACAGTGACAACTGTAATCAGCTATCATTTCTGTCTAAATATTACCTTTTCTTTAAACCCAGCTCAAATCCCACCCCTGTAAAGTCTTCTGCAACTGCCCCAGGGGCATCCTCCTCCTCCTTTCTATCATCTATTTCAGCAAACACTTATTGACTATTTTGGGTGCAAAGCAGTGAGCCAGAGCCAGGTACTCAGAGGAAAAGGCACAACCTGCCTTTGGAGAGCTTACTGCTTAGTGGAATAGAGGAAAAACAATTAAAATTATGTTACATATCCAGATGAAATCAATGCTCTCTGGGCTTACCAGCGGGTAGCTTCTAAAAGGTACTTGAGGAAGTCTTCAGGAGGCAGGCTGTATGCACAGGATGGGCAAGGGCTTGCAAGTTGGATGGTGAAGACTGAATTCAGGGTAAACAGTCTAGTGTGTTTTCCATTTAGGTTATGTGTCAGAGGTACAGAAGAAAATGTCGGAGAAGTAATCTGGGGTCATGGATAGAGGACCTAAATTCTAGTTTGGACTTTATCTTGTTTGCAGTAGATTACCATGGAATGCTTGCTTTCTTTCTTCTCTTTAAAAAGTAGCTTCAATTCTTTTCTTTCTTTCTTTTTTTTTTTTTTTAAGATTTTATTTATTTATTTGACAGAGAGAGAGTTAGCAAGAGCAGGAACACCAGCAGGGGGAGTGGGAGAGGGAGAAGCAGGCTTCCCGCTGAGCAGGGAGCCCGATGCGGGGCTCGATCCCAGGACCCCGGGATCATGACCTGAGCCGAAGGCAGATGCTTAATGGCTGAGCCACCCAGGCGCCCCTTTTCTTTTCTTTCTTTTTTTTTTTTTTTTGTTCTCCAAAAATGGTGGGTTTATTTTTTTAAGTTTTTATTTTAATTCCTGTTAGTTAACATAGTGTATGAGTTTCAGGTGTACAATATAGTGATTCAACACTTCCATACGTCACCTGGTGCTCATCACAACTAGTGCCCTCCTTAATCCCCGTGGCCTATTTCACCCATCTCCCCTTTGGTAACCATCAGTTTTCTCTATATGCTTTGTTTTCTGATTATAAAATTAATGATTATGTTTCCCCAATTTTCAGTAATTTCCAAAATATAAAGGGAACAGATCACATGTTAGAGAACCATTCTTAATATTTGTTGGTTTATTCTGTGAAGCTTTCTGTATACATCCCTAGGTATAAACACAGCTCCATATACATTCTCCGCAGATGGCATTAGACCACACATTGTTTCGTAGCCCACGCTGCTTACAGCCTGCTAAATCCGGCGATGGTGTGGGGAAGGGATGAAGGAGGGGTGCTGCTGGGGCTGGTGGCGGGTCCCTGGCGGAGATGGTGCGGGGCACCGAGCTAGGGCAGGAGGGCAGAAAGACAGGCATGGATGCCAAAGCTGTTTCAGAAGCAGAATTTGCGTTCTGCTGCCTGCTTTCATTTTTAGTCACATTCCCTCCGTTGTGATTTTCATTTCCATAGCTACTTTTCATATGACAAATTGCTGGGTGCCTTGGAAAGATCATTCTATGATCTCATAGGAAGTGAAGCCTCCATCAAGTTGGAATTTTGTTACTGCCCCCTCTCTCCAAGAGGGGCGGGGGAAGAACCCCCTGTTAAAGATCATAACTGATTTATGTGGTTTGAACTCATTCTGACTATGATCCCCAAGAATAGACTAGGGATTACATACTGATTGAAAAGGAGTTCCTGGTACAAGAAAGTTATTGACAGTGCTTAACAGGCTTCAGGCTCTGAGCTATACAAAGCAAAGAGCTCAAGGTCAGAGCTTATAATTGGCTGAGCCCAACACTAATTTGTACTCATTTACCATTTAAAATTAGAGCACCGGGGTGCCTGGGTGGCTCAGTCGTTAAGTGTCTGCCTTTGGCTCAGGTCATGATCCCAGGGTCCTGGGATCGGGCCCCACATCGGGCTCCCTGCTCTGCGGGAAGCTTGTTTCTCCCTCTCCCACTCCCCCTGCTTGTGTTCCCTCTCTCGCTGTGTCAAATAAATAAATAAAATCTAAATAAATAAATAAAATTAGAGCACCAATTATTTAAAAACAATGTTCTGAATGTTTTTAAGTAAAGGGGAAAATCTCAAATAAAAATGTAGCTTAAACCTTTATACTTGTGCATCTGAACATACTCAGCCTTAATGTTTTAAGTGATTCCTTAAAATTTGGGCAAACATTAGGGCGAGGATGCCAATGACATCCAGTTCCCCAGGCTGCTTTTTAATTTTGGTGCCCTGCTGACAGATAGGTCACTGAATCAATTCTTCCAATAACCCAGTAGTTTGCTTGTAAATATTAGGAAAATCAAATATAGAATGTACATTTATAGCAAGGGTGCAATTTTATAATGTGTCTTGAACATGGGAGAAAGCAATAGAAATTTGTTTTCTATCTCATTTCTCTCATTTCTCATATCTCTCAAACGTTTGTTTCTATCTCAGTTTCTCAAATTTGAAGGT